GTTCCGTTGCCATGAACACCTGGGTTTGATCATGTTGGAATTCGCCTTCTTCCGGTTCGTTTTCTTCTCCATCTATCGATGTTTCTGAAATCCCTTCATAATCTTCTTCCTCATCTTCGGATTCCTCTACTTTATCAAAGGGGGCGGGTTTGAATGGTGACCAATCATCCGTGTATTCCACCACACCTACTCTGTATTTCGTGTTACTGACTTCAATTATAACTTCTTCATTAATCCATGTTCATCTTGCTGTTAGTATCCCAACCTTCCCCATGGAATAGTCCCTTCTACTTGAGATTGAATCAAATGGGTTTATAACCTTACCGAACCTGCTTGCAATAAGTGAGAAATTATCTTCATCCCAAAATTCCAAGGGAACCCCAAGAATCTTCAGTCAAGCAATTCTTTCATATCGAACATCATGTTGATCAGCAATCCCCAACCATTTGAACCAATCTTTCCATCGACTTTCATCTTCCAGGATTTCATTTGCACTTTTGGAGCACTTAAATTCAATAGCAATTCTTAAACCCCCTAGATATTTGGTTTCTTTTGATATTATTCCCAGGGCATGGAGTGTACCAATATGGTCAAGACTGTGAGCTTCACCAATTAGAATACATTTTTTTCTTAGCCATCCACTCATACTAGTGTTAGAGTTTAGTGTGATACAGGGGATATAGTTACTCTCTTGCTGATTTTTTTGTCCAGCCACGACCTGAGAAAATGTATTGTTATTTCTAATACCTGATTTGAGAGGAGATATTTCATTCATGTGTGGATTCCTCCAGGTTCTGGAGCTTCGTTGGTGTTGGTTGACCTTTTCCTTTCTCTGATGATTGGATATGTTAACCTCTAGTACCATTTCTTTGCATTTGATACCTTATAATCTTGTCTCCAATACCTTGGCGTCGTCTACCCCCATGAATTTGATGAATGCGTAGTTCTTCTTCCGATAATCTTTCTTCCACCCAAAATACAAATCGACCACGTGATCTTGATCGCATAAACATCATAGGTGAACATCCAGATTGATCAAATTTTAAATACATTGTTTACAATAAAGTATATTTAAAACCGTGGAGACTCAAGAAATAGTTCACACGTCCGTTGACTTAAACACCTGAAATGTTCATTTTTAATATAAGTAATTTGAATACTCAATTTCGTACAAAAATTTCATATAAAATGCGTGCTTAAATAGTTATTTTCATTTTCTTTAAGTTATTTGTTTGCTTAGGTAAAGGCTAACGTCTAACGTCGTTGCTATAGACGACGTCGCTAAAAGTATTCCACCGGCGATCCTCCTACGCCACACGCCATTTGATCCTGACCATACACTGCTACATTAATCCATTGGTTGGGGTTTAATCTGATGGAAGGTAATAGAGGCGACATCAATTGCGACGACATGTCGCCGCTATTGCTTGCGATCCGCGCAAATCTCATCGTGGCCGTTCAATTATTTATGGATCGGACGGTTAATAATAACCACAGAAAGGCGCGTGTTTTTCCCTCCAATATGTCGCTGCTATTGCTTCTACGTCGCCGCTAAAGATGTCGCCGCTAAAGGTAACGCCCCTTTCGTCCCAAACGACCCATTTCTGCGTTTCCTCCTCCCTCTCGCAAAACTCTGGCGACATACTTTTCTGGTGCGATTTTCCGGCTTATTACACCAACAAAAACCACCACTAACCATAGATTGCTTCAGGCCTTCATTTTCCGGTGATTTCCTGCGTTTTCCGGCTATTTTCGGCGTTTTTCGGCGAAATCGAAGTTTCTCCGGCGACAGGTAAGGTGCGTTTTCTCTTCCCTTGTCTGTTTCTCTTGTTTTCTTAACATTATTTAACCCTAATTATGTTATTTTGGTGCTTTTAAGGTAGCTCTTCGTATTTTCTGGTGAATATCACCACCACAACACCACCGCAGCTGCATATTCCGGCTACCACTCGTTTTTTCCGGCGATCCTTCTCATTTTCCAGTGACGGCAGGTTTTTCTTTCTTTTTCTCTTCTTAATGCATTGGTATGTGAAATGTATATATGTTGGTATGTGAAATGTATATGAAATGTATGAATATGTATGTAAAAATGTATATGGAAATGTATACGTGTGAATATGTATGAAAAAATGTATGTGTATGTTTATGTATGAAAAAGTGTATGTGAAAATGTGTGTTTAAGTGTATTACTATGTAAAATGTATGTATATGTGCATATATATGAAAAAAATGTATGTATATGAAATGTAGGTATTTTTATGTGAAGATGTAGGTATTTGTATGTGAAATGTATATATGTATTTCTATATGAAATGTATTTGTATGTATGAAAACATATATGTGAAAATGTGTGTATGAGTGCATTTGTATGTGCGTATATTATATGTTATGATAGAATTGTGAATATTCAATGTATATGTGTGTATAATATATGTAATGATAAGATGTTATAATTGAAAAAACATGATGTTATCATTTTACCTGTCTTTTTAACGTCTTATTCCTATAATAAAAACCCCAAACTCCTAAGATAATATAAATAAAAATCCCCCCGAAAGGTTATATGTCCTAATAAGAAAAAAACAATAATAAGTTGATACTAAAAATCATAATATGAAAAAAAAAATGATATAAATACCAAATGCTATAATTTAGTCATAAAAGGAAAATATAAACAAAAAGGTATAAAGTCATAATAGAAAAATAAAAACAAAACTAAGTTGATATTAAAAATCAAAATATGGAAAAAAGTAAGTTTTTTTAGTTTAAGTATCTTCTTTTTAAAGTATGATACTATCGTTTAAAGTATAATGCTATAATAAAAAATAAAAATAGAAAATTAATACGATAAATCTACTAAGTTATAATTTAATAACTGAATTATTTAAAGTGCAATGCTATAATAAAAAAGTAAGTTTTTTTGGTTTAAGTCTCTTCTTTTTAAATCATCAAAAGCCTAGAACTACCCGCCCGAAATGGATTTAGAAATTAATTTTGGGTTTTCCCCGTTTTGGGACTGCTTTTTGAATACCTTACCTCATTTAGGATGTAAATGTGTATTACATGATTGATTGTTTAAGAAATATTCGGTTGTTATTTTCTCTTTGCTCCTCGAATATAATTTTATATATACTTAGGAGCTAAGGGGGAATGATGCCGAATTTTTCTTAAACGGTCAATCATGTAATACACATTTGCATATGAGGTAAGGTATTCAAAAAGTGGGTTTAGAAGCCTACTCTTGTGAATACTCTCCCATTGTCCGGTTTTCTATTCCATCTGATAGAGTTGTTACTCTATCCTTATAAATATTCAATCCTAATTCTAGTTCTTGTAGAGTAAACACTAAAACCTAACTTATGTTTCAGTTGCAACATGTCTATTGATAAAACATTGACTACTATTGAAATCGTAACTCTACCTTGTTCCAACAAGGACTCGAATCTTTTCTCGAGAGGTCCAAACCACAAGTCGATAACAAAGGTCAAATTAGATGCCCGTGTAACAAATGTAATGTCAATAAATTTATACTACTAGCCATAATGAAATTCCATATACTTCAACATGGTTTTAGTCCACATTATATTAGATGGAAGTATCACGACGAAAATACAACTCACCCGGTTGTCGAAGACATACCGCGTAGTAACGAGATCGGCGATGTTATTGCTGATGTTATGGGGGGTGTGATTGAAAATGATACCAACCGCGATGAAGGGAAACCGGATACCGACGGTATCGGTGTCGATGATGGATTTCAAAAGTTGTTAGAGGAAGTCCATTTAAAATTATATCTTGTATGTTCGTTTTCGTCCCTTGAATTTTTAGCAAAGTTGATGTATATCAAGGTGATCAACAAATGGAATGATAGTTCATTTGATCAGCTTTTTGAGTTGTTGCAAACTACATTTCCTCAAGGAAACAGTGTCCCCCCGTTACATTATTAAGCAAAAAAGACACTTAAAAAGATCGGCTTGGGTTATGAGTCGATACATGTATGTAAAAACGACTACTTTCTTTTCTGGAAAGAACACAAGTTGTTGCAAAAGTGTCCAGTTTCTAATGAGAGTCGGTGGGTTGATGAAAATACAAAGGGTAAGAAGGTGGCTCAAAAGGTGTTACGATAATTTCCCGTGACCCCGAGACTACAACGTTTGTACTGTTCTAGACACACATCTAAAGAAATGATTTGGCACAGTACCGGGCGATCCAAAGATGGTACGATGCTTCATCCCGTTGATGATACTTCATGGAAAGAATTGGATATGAAGTATCCTAACTTCTCGAGGGAACCCCGAAACGTACGCTTAGGGCTTGCTGCTGATGGTTTTAATGCGTTTGGTAACATGTGTAATCCACATAGCACATGGCCCGTCATACTCACCACCTACAATCTTCCACCATGGCTATGCATGAAAGAGTCCTCCTTCATGTTGACCATGTTGACCTTCTAATTCATTGAATTTCATATTATATCTATATAAAAAATTATTTTGACTAGTATTTTTTTATGCAGCGGTGCCTCGGAAACGAAGAGGCATGGCAAATAAAAAAATGCACAAACTATTTGTAGCTAACGGCAACCGGCCACTTAAGATAATATTCGACATAAATATTCACATGACGATTTGGGAGGTATACGAATGTTTCATTCGGGGGGTTGGGAGCTATATGTGGCGGGACATCGGTTTTGATAAGGACACATGGACAGGCGTTTCTGAAGCCGAAAGGGTTGACATGTTCTGGTATCTTTCGTTAAATTATTTATAAAGTTATATATTTAATATTGTTTAATTTTGATTTATTTTTAATTTCTCTATTTTTTTACAGAGATGGTTTGATTTTGGAACGATTACAAATGATCCCATGGCTCCAACTTATTGGGTGTCACTGAACAATCAGATATGTTCGTGGTATAGAGGCCGCAAAAATATTGCAAAAATCATTTGACTGGTTTTGCATGGGATGTGGAGGCAGCAAGGGCTCAAGCCCCTACGGGTATGGATGTGCAGCATTGGAATGCTGCTATTGACCACTTCTTAACAGAAAAGCATCAAAAACGATCCGCTGGAAACAAAGAATGTCGGGAGAAGCAAGTAGTTAAGAATCGTGGAGGGACGTGTAGCTACGGTAGTGCTTGTTTCAAGAAAGTAAGTTACAATAATGCGTATTCAGTTATAACATATTTTTTAATGTTTATTCAAGTATAACGTATTTTGTAATGCTAAACAAAATTTGAATAGACTTGAAGCATTTCATCGTGCGCATGTGAATAAAAAAAGGGAATTTGTTGATCCTTTGCTTGAAGAGCAATGTGAAAGTTATTATTACTTAAAAATGAAGTAGATTGTTGGGTTTTCTTGTGTGTGTGTGTGTGTTAGTTTTAACGTATATTAACAATCTTTGTGAAATACAGAATGCCTTAGTTGCTGAGGTTGCTCTATAGATTCATCACATAGCGGACTCTAGTGGTGCAGACACCATTGATTGGATCGCAATATTTGAGAATGTGTTGGGTACACGAAAGGGGTATCTGAGAGGCATTGGGCCTAAACCTTCTTCAGTTGCGGGTACAAGTGCTCCATCCCAATGACAGTCACAGTCACAAGCACTGCAACCAACAAAAGTGCTTGTTAATTCTTAAAGAATTTGGTAGTTTTTTTTATATTGTTAAGAAGTTGATGTATTTGTAGTAATTTTTGGTAGCTCGGTAGTTTGTTAAATTGTTAAAAACTTAATTGATTTGGTCGTTTAATAGTTTGTTAAATTGTAAACGACTTAATTCATTTGGTGCTTTGACGGTTTGATAGTTTGTTAAATTGTTAATGACGTAATGTGCTTGTGACTTAATTGTAGGATGTTAATGTGAATGCTTTTCTTCAAAACCCGTCATTTGTGACGGCCATTGGAGACATTATCCGCTCGTTTAAAACCAAGTCAACAACGAGGAAAACAACGATGGGGAAAACGAAGACACATAGTATTTCTTGTTTTATGTTATGGATGATGTTATTTTGGATTTATTAGATAGTTTATGGATGATATATTAGATGTTTATTTGGGATTTATTAGATAGTTTACGTAATATGGTATATTTGATGTTTTATGTAATGTGGTATGTATTTATTTATGTATTTTTATCAACTCTGCATTTTATAATATATATAAACTAATATCATAAAAAATATGTTTTTTCTCCCAAAAAAAAAAACTATTAGCAGCGACACCTTTAGGGACGACGTGGACCAATTGCGACGACCCATAACTCTGGGAAGTTTTAGCGGAAAACTTCGGCCGGTGGCCGGAATGTCAATAGAGACGACATTAATAGCGACGACAAACGAGTATTAGAGACGACGTTATTTGCGACGACAAAAGAGTATTAGCTACGAGGTAATAACGACGACCCTTTAGAGACGACTTGTCGTCGCGAAAGGTATTAGCGACGACAAGGGGCATCAATTGCGGCGATTTTTGTCGCCGCTAAAGGTTACGTTTTTTGTTGTGTTATGTAAAAGTCGAAACAACAACAAATGACAAAATTTATGTTATGAAAATCAAAACTAACTAAAAAAAACCTAACAATAACTTTAGAAAATGTTATATCTACTACTTTTAAGCTTCTATCACTGACACTAGAAGGAAAAAGGCAATTAGCGGCGACAAAAGTCATCGCTAAAGGGTCTCGTTGTCACCGGTAATGGTAGTAGCGGAGACACGTCGCCGATAATAAGTCGCCGCTACTGCTTCGTCGCTATTGATCAAATTGTCGCCGCTAAAGATAATTGTCCCCGTTAATGAGTATGTCGCCGCTAATGACATAGTCTCCGGTAATGAGTATGTCGCCGATAATAGTGTCGCCGGTAATAACAGTTTTCATTTTTTAATTTTTTTATTCAACGATTTTCGCTGCCGGTAATAGTGTCGCCGGTAATAGTGTTGCCGATAATTACATAACAACATTCGATTAAATATCAAAAATAATAGTGTCGCCGGTAATTACAAAACAAACATCCGATTAAATATCAAAAGTAATAGTGTCACCGGTAATAATGTCGCCGGTAATTACAGATCTGATTAAATATCAAAAGTAATAGTGTCACCGAAAATAATGTCGCCGGTAATTACAGAAAACAACCAAAAGTTTTACAATCTAACAAGTAGCAAAGCGTGACAACAAGTGTAATATGCAAATAAAACTCCTCCCTACATACCATCATCTTCGTTCCCATCGTTTCCTCGATTAATCTGTGATTGAAAAAACGAATAAAGCTCATCCCTACATGTCGGGTCGTTGAGTATTGCACGAAGATTTTCCAACTACATAATGAATAACAACATATGTAAACTTATACGTTATCAGCATCCATACCCTCTGGAGGGTTGGCTAATGCTCTCGGGATATCATCATACCCTCCGACTATCAAAAAATATTCTTTTGCGTCAGCTTTCCGTTCTCAATAACCTTTTAACAAAGTTGCTTGAAAACTCTCTGTCAACATATTAGATTTTACATCCTGGTACATCTTATCCAAATCAAACTTTGTCCACAAAAAAATAACTTAACAAAGTAAAAATGTAACACCCCGACTCTCAAGTATTAGTTTTACAGCTTTATTATTTTCATATTGAAAGGTCTACTCGACGAGTTGGATGCCCTGACTTCTCGAGTAGGAACGTTTTGGCCACGTGTTTAAGTGACCAACTCGACGAGTCGGAGGACACGACTCGACGAGTTGGAGCTGAAGGATGAAACCCTAATTTCCGGGGTTTTTCACCCTATTTAAGGATCACTTGCCCCCTTAGCCTCCCTTACAAGCCCCCTTGTGAGTCCAGAAACCCTAAATCACTACTTACACTTCATTTTGGTGTGATATTAAGCATGGAAGGTAGATTGTGGTGGGAAGAGCTTGAAGTGCAAGAAGTTGGAGCAAAGAGAGGTTGTGGATCCGAGTTCTACTTCATGTCAGCATCACCTTGAAGGTAACAAGTTGTTACCTTGGTTCTCCATTAGATAGATCTCTTGTTTCATAGGTTTAGAACCCTTTTTAGGGTATTGTGGTGGTATTCTGGATTTGGGGCAAGATCTGAGGTTGCAACTTTAGATCTGGACCCCTTTGGCCCCTTATTGTCATAAAGTCTCAACCTTTGTCAAGCTATGGCCCTTCCATTGTCTTAAGCATCTTCTTTAGCTTGGTTTGACTCTTGAGACTTTGCATGCACATAAAGTTTGTAACTTTACATGATAACTAGGCCCTAGGAGGCTAGATCTACCATTTGGAGCTTTGGAATGGCTCAAAACCACCTGGACAAGAAATGGATTTTATGAACTCGACGAGTCGGATAGGGGACTCGACGAGTTAGGAAGGGTTTTCCCGTTGTTTGGTTTCTTCATTGACTCGGCGAGTCAGCAGAGGACTCGAAGATTCAGTTAAGATTTCCCCGACTTCTGGACACGTTAAGACTCGGCGATTTGGTCGGAAACTCGGCGAGTCAGTAAGGGTTTTATAACCTTTTGAACTCTTAAGGAACTCGACGAGTTGCTAGCTGCACTCGACGAGTTGGGTCAACATGTATTGTTGACTTCGACCGTTGACTTTGACTTGGACCAAGGGTTGACCAGTTTGACCTCTGGGGGTATTTTGGTAATTTGGGAATTTATGGAAGTAAGTTATCGGTGGATGTAGGTGTTGGATTTGGAGCTGCATTTTGTTGAGTTGACTTTATTGATTCGAGCTACTTGAGAGGTGAGTTCTCCTCACTATATCAACAAGGTCTAAGGCGCCAATGTCAGCCCTTATCAGATTTGTATCCGGGTTTATTGCATGATATGCTTATTGATTTACATCCTGGTAGTTAGGATGGTGATATGCTTAGTGACCTGGTTAGGTCGGTATCCTGGTATATAGGATGATGTTATGCTAGTGACCGGTTAAGTCTGTATCCTGGTTATAGGATGTTGCTATGATTGATGATCTGTTAGATCGGATTGACTGTTATATATGCTAGCGTATGATATTATGTGCACATGTTTGTTGATTGGGGTTTGGGTTGAGGCGAACCTGCTTTGTGCTGAAGACCAACATACCCAGGGCGGTCCGGGTAGACTACAGGCCCAGGAGGGCATGTCAGTCAGACCGAAGGCCCGTCGAGCGGTCCGGATAGGCTGTAGGCCCTACGAGGCGGTCCAGACGTGACGAAGGCTCGGAGAGCGGTCCAGATAGGCTGAAGGCGTGTGAGGTGGTCCAGTCAGGCTGAAGGCTCATTATGCATGCTGTTTTCTTATATCATTATATGATATGGTTATATCTGTATGACGTTGGTATTTTGAGGGTAACTCACAAAGCCTTCGAGCTTACATTTATC